TCGGGATCGGCAGCGGCAACAGGTTAGTGTTGGGTTAGGGTTAGGGTTAGGGTTAGGGTTGGGGTTATATTGGTTTAGTTGGTTCGATTGAACCAACTAACAACCGAACCAGGACCGAACCAGACCTAAAATTCTGGTTCGGTTTACCCAGGCGCTCGCCCGAAGCGCCCAGCGCCTGGGCTCGGGCGAGCGCCTAGGCGGCGCCTGATTGAAGCGCGCCGCCTGGGACATTAGCGAGGCGCTCGGGCCTCGCCTCGCCTCGCCCGAGCGCCTAGGCGAGCGCCCAAGCGCCTTTTGCAATCACTGGTTAATAGTTTTGCTATAGATGATACATGAGGAAGATTTTTATGGCAGTTCTTCCATCTAATTATTACTTCAATTATAGATTATCTATCATCTATGATAATCATATATGGTTATAATCAAGGATTGCAATTTCATATCGAGGTATTATATCGGTCCTTGGATGGATTGGTACATGACATATGGTACATTGGAATGTACCAAATAGGAAGAAGAAGAGGAGGAAGGAGGAAGAAAAAGGAAGAAAAAAAGGCGGTGGAGGAAGAGGGAGAAGGCAGAGGATGAAGGAAGACAAGGAAGAAGAGGAGGTAGTGGAAGGAAAAGAGGAAGAATGAGGAAGAGGAAGGAAGAAGAGGGGGGTGGTGGAGGAAGAGGAGGAAGGAGGAGGATGAGGAAGGAGGTAGTGGAGGAAGAATAAGGAGGAGGATTACTGGAAAAGAGATAAGCAATGAGGTAGACGACGACGATCGGACGAAGGGAGTGGTTAGGAGAACAAGAAGAGAAGAAGGCGGAGATGGCTTACAGGGTGGAGAGGGCTTGCATGAGCCCTAGAAAATCTGGATATGATATATATACTATATATTATTTAATTGAACCAAAATGGACAGCTCAAAATGGGTGAGTCCACATATCATTTCATGTCCCTACCAGTAAATACTGGTTACTATGTATTGATCCGAGTGAAAAAGGAGTTCCTTGGTTATAACAACAACCATTTATAAGTAGCAGATGTTCACAAAAATACTTCAAACATAAACATACAACACAAATAAGTCAAGAATCCAAATTACATAAATAGTTTTAGTCTTTGACACATCTTGAATCTGTATGTAGAGGAATCATCCTATGTATATATAATACATTAACATAAATATGTATACAAAACAAGAGTCCTAAAATGTTTGCGCTATTTGACATCTTGATGTTTGAGACCAATGTTTGATGTTTCACGTGGATCAGTATGAAACGAGTGATACGTACTTGTTTGGGTGAATTGGTGTGCGGACCGCCTCACTTTCGAATGATCCCATCCGAACCATTAAAAGGAAAGTATTTAATTTAATAAACATACTTTAGGGCTTGCCTTCACGAGCCCTCTTTGCCTCGAACACGAGCCCTTCTTGCATCACCTCATGTAGCTACTTGTCATCACCTGTCGCTAGTTGTGCGTCATCGATAGGTACTCTTCCTCCACTTCTCCTCTTTTTTTTCCTATTCCTTATGTTCCTCCATCACCTCCTCTCATTGCTCTTCCTCTACCGTCCTCTTCCTCTACTACCTCCTCTTCTTCCTTTCTTTTCCTCCTATTTTGTCCTCCAACACCTAGTCTTCTTCCTTCCTCCTCCCTCTTCCTCCATTGCCCTTCCTCTTCTCCTCCTTTCTCGTTGAGTCATCAACACATAGGTGTACCGCATGTCACTATATCAGTATTGTATCGGTCTAGCTAGTGAGGATTGATATGAGTCCGTACTGGTGCAGTGCATGTCATACTTACTGGTTTGGCTAGGGATTGACACGGGTTCGGTATGTGAAATGACAATCCTTGTTTGAGGCGGTCATGAAGAATCTTTTGAAATGTCCAGTCGAATAACATTTCTACCAATCACATGTGGTCGTCAAGATTGGCTGAATAAATAATAACTAGCCAACCATTCATATTCAACCCATTCCCTCTTTTCGCTCTCACATTTAGGAAGGAATGACATGTATGCATGAATTCAGTTGGCCTAGTACCAATAAGTTGGTTTTAACTATTAACATTTTCTGTTATATTAGCAGAGACTGCTTTGTACAAGTTATAGGAGAAGCATGATGAGCTTGTAATGACTTGAGAGTTGCAGCATAGACATTGACTGGATCCTTAAGTGAATTCTGGAGAATTTGGGTGGAGTAGATTGCAGCAATCTCAGGTCTGGGAAGGAGGAAAGGACGGACTAGTTGCAGCATAGACATTGACTGGATCCTTAACTGAATGCTGGAGAATTTGGGTGGAATAGATTGCAGCAATCTCAGGTTTGGGGAGGAGGAAAGGATGGACTTGTATATTCACATGTCCTATTACAGATACATTGGGCCTAAGTTCTCTGATCTATGTTCGGCAGGCCTGCATGATCATGAGTTTTTTTTAAATAAGGTTTCTTTGCTTGTTAAAGTAGCTTAATAATGTGCTATCTCGATTGCTCTTTTGAATAAGTTCATGTTGCATATCATTCTTGCCTACAACTAGTGAGAATGGAAGAGAGAAGACACTACGAAATATGAACTGGTTCTTGACAAATAATCAATCCATTGAACTTCTTCAACCTTTGGTGAATCCTGCTTTCTGATATCTTTCATTTGCCGTTGTATGTGTTTTTGCCATTAGTGTCGTAACTCTTTAATCTTTACCCCAATTTGATGTCGGGTGTGAAGTTGTCAATTTGTGATCGGACTCATGAATATCCTACAATTTATTGCTGAAAATCTGATTCTTGCTGCCTGTGATGGTAGTAGATATAGAAGACGAGGCTTTTTCCATACTTAACGCTGGGGGTAGATCTTTGTTCTGCACTGAGCCATTTTTACTGTATACCTTCTTTTAGGGTCCTACTCTTCCTATACTTTGCTTATACATTTATCCCTGTGTAGTTTATGAATTGAGAAGCATCCTTGCAATGTTGTTTTCCAACTTGATTTGGTTGTAGTCTTGATGCTAAAATGGTCTTTCTTGGTTTTATTTCTTATCATGCCATGACTATTTTTGCTTATCCTGTGCCATTTTTTTCCTTTTAGCTCATTGCAAGTGTTGATTTTGTTGCTTTCCTTCCAGATTCACAAAACAGGAAACCGATCAGAAGCAACTGGGAAAGATAGATATGGGAGATCTATTTGATGCAATTTCTAATGAAGGATTTTTATCCACTCGGAGTAGAAGGGATGCTGGGATAATGAGAAGGCCAACCGATCTTCGATTAGGAGCTCAATTCCGAAGAATACCAGCTCTAGAAATGCTTGATCAAGATTAATAGAAAATAGTGGCACATCAGATCTTTCAAGACAATTGGCTGTTTCGCCCATGAGTTCATGCATATGGGTGTGTACACGAGCGTTGATGACCCATATGCTGTATTCCACGGCATATATGATTGACAGCCAACTTCATCAGCTTAGGTTGACAACTTCAAGCTTTTTGCGAAAGAATACCCTTAGTAAACATCATTGATTAGTCTGGATGTACTGTGTAACTATGTATACTATTAGTCGGTTGCATGTCTTACATTTTAGTAACAGGCTATCGGGGATTTGCTGATGATTTCTAACCATTCTAACGAAACTATACCACCATCTTTTTGGTTTGGTGATTTGTATGTAATTGATGATTCTCTATGCAGGTTCTTTTACCTTATTGATTTTTATTTTTACCTTATTGAAAAAAAATGGTATTAGTCATTTTAAAATTACGTCCTAACGGTTTAAGTTTGGATTGGTTTAGTGGAAGTTACTATATACTCGATCATAGAATTTATTAAAAAAAATTAATTTTGATAATTTATTAATATTATTTAAAAATAAAAAATAAAAAAATAGTATTAATCATCGTCAAATTGAGTTAGCTTAGTGAAAGTTAATCATGTTATGCTCAAAATTAAATTAAATCACACTTATGTTATTACAATCAATCACATAATCTCTCCAATTTTAATTGATTTAGTTCATAAGTAAGTTTATTTACTTAAAAAAGATGTTTCCTCATAAAAATAAATATGAGGTGTCATCCGTAAAAAAATCAATAATAAATTTTTTTAATAAAATATCTTACGTACTCACATCTGCATGCATCCATCGACAAGACATTTGCTATGTTTCACATGTGGGGGTTCATGAATGTATGTATGGGTCCTCATTGGATGTCTCCTCATCCAATGGGTCCTCATCCTTCATCCACCAAGTCACTTTTCAATCAATCACCTTCTAACCTATCTAATACGTACGTGCCATTAAACCCAAACATAGATCTCGTTACCATTTCCATCAAATAGTGAGGTTTAAATATGGGTGAGAGGTTGAGGCTTCACTTTGCTTATGGGGGGCGTGATGTGATTGTTGAATCACAGTGACATGTTATTCTAATATCCCCCATAGGCAATCAAGTCAAAGAATAGGAATTGGTCCGCTTCGTAAATCCGAAAATGGAAAAAAATGAAGAAAACCACACACGTCAAGATTAGTTAGCAAAAGTTTATTTCGGAAGAAAATGCTGTCGCCGGTGCCACTTCGGGGATTCCTCCGTCCCTACAAGATATAAAAGCCTCGTCCTGTGCTCCCTCGTTTCTCTCCGTCGATCTCGGCTTGGCCTCGGGTGAATCCGTGGAATTAGAATTGGGCTTAGGGTTAGGGCTCCGGAGGGGGCGAAGATGCTGCAGAACCGGAAGGTGACGCCCAATCTTGATCAGCAGAGCACCAAAGCCCTCAATCTCATTGTCCTCCAGCGCGGCGACCCCTTCGTGGAGGAGATCCTGATGACCGCCACCCACGTCACCTTGTACGAGTTCAGCATCGACCTCAACCAATGGGTCCTTCCATCTGCCCCGCCGAACCCTTCTCCTCCCTTTCTTGATCGGGATTTTTTGTTTCGTTTTTTCTGGTTTCCGCCACCTGATTAGGGTTTCGCTTCCGTCTTTCCTTGCAGAGCCGGAAGGATGTTGAGGGATCGCTCTTTGTCGTGAAGAGGTAATTGGATCGTGAGTGTTAGTCCTTTTCCTCGTTTCATCACCTTTGATTTGAATCATAATGTGGATGAATCGGGCCTGATGTTTAGGTCCTATTGGGTTTTAGTACCGAATTTATTACTTGATGTCAGTTCCCGTGGTGAATTTATTGTTGTTCTGTTGGCAATGATGAAAATACGCTACTCTGCAGGAACACGCAACCTAGATTTCAATTCATTGTCATGAATCGACGCAATGCAGGTATTAGATCGGTCTTGTTTGGGGAATCTATCTTACTTCTTGCCTTCATCTCTACCTGTAAAAGATGTAAATTTCTCTATAACTTTGTCACTGTAAGTTTTGACATGAGAGAAGTTGGAAAGGGATAAGAGTCGTTTGTCCTAGCCCTTGTCGGATATATTCTTATTACCATCTCTATGTCAGCTAGGTAATCAATTTCTGCTGGTAACCTTAAGAAGATTCCGGATTGGATTTATGACCAATTTAAGTTGGATTTTGTTGCATCACAACGTTGTAAAATCATACTTGATTTTTCTATAATTAATTTCCTAAATACTCAACTCTGGAGGCTTCGTTTGGAGAAGGTTGTGCTGGAAGTATAGTGCTACCAGTAGTGTAAACTCTGCATTATGCAGGTCATTTGAAACACAACTTATTCTTTGCATTCTTTCTGTGTTGATATGGTTGTCACTAAAGAAAAACATAAATCCTCATGAGAACCACCTAATGTGGGTTGTGTCAACAAAGACACTTTGCAACTTTGGAATTTGTCCTTTTTCTGTGAAGATACTCCTTGAGATGACCATTGGCATTTTTATTTCACTTGTACGTTGACATAGATTTAGATGACCATTGACATCTTTAGTGCTTTATCATCATGGATTTCCATGCGGCTTATTCAATTGGTCATGGTTATTACTTCAATCTTTGTTCACTTAAATGTTACAGTGGCTAACATTGATTCTATACCCAGTTGCTTTTATATATTCAAGTCTTGTCAACCTGAAGCTGGCACCATTTTATGCAATATACTTGGTGAAGAATCTTATGTGTTCTGTTAGTCTGGATTGTGTGACTTGTGCTGTTCATTATGTGGCAAAATAATTTTTTATTCTTCCGGAGATATAGACACATACAAAACAAAGTGGCAACCAAGAATATTCATATTTCAACCACCACAGTCTAATAATGGTGTGATTTCTTATTTGGAGATTAAGATCTGGAAATGCAAGACATTGAAAGATTAGTATAACTCAAGTTAGAGCAGCTACTAAAGAAATGATAATGGCAAGTATAATATGAATATCTGGAGATTTTTTTGAAGTTCAAATTTTCATTCTTTATCGGTTTCTATATATATATATGTGTGTGTGTGTGTGTGTGTGTGTATATATATGTGTATATATATATATGTGTGTATATATATATGTGTATATATATATTTGTGTGTATATATATATACATATACATACATATATATATACATACACATATATACATATATGTGTGTGTGTGTATGTGAAGAATAATTTGATTATATAAAAAATAGCATATGTGTGAGGATGGAGAATGCATCCAGAAGCATGTGATAGGCATGTGGATGAACTAATGATAGTTAATGCTAAATGACAGTCTCTGAAGAACTAATGAGAGTCCCTGCTAATAGATGATAGATGTGCCGAGGAGTATTCTTAAAATTCTAAATGTCATGCTGGGTGCCTTTGATTCTTTCTAGACTAAATCTTGACATCACCCCCTTTTTCTTTATCTCTTGTTGTAGACTTCTCCAAATGTAGGAATCTCAAGAGTTTTGATTGTTGCATGATGATGAACTGCAAGTGATAATGTGGAGGTTTATATTTACTAGGTACTTAGTGTTAAGATCAGTTCTTATCTTTTGTACATTGATTTGGTTCAAAAAATCTATTGTGTTTTCTGTTAGACCTGTTCTTAGTGCAAAAAGATGAATGCTGATGTTTTTGGATGTTTATTTAGTATGCTATAATGTACACATGGAACATGCAGATATTTTAGTTCAAAAATGGTAGTTTGTATCATCAGAGAGTAAAGAATGGGCTTCTTCTTCATGAGGCTCTCACCAATGTTTGATATGGGGAGTGTCATACCCCTTCAAGCAGATATGTCATTTTCAAGACCCGAACCCTGATCACTCATGACACAAAGGGTCAACCTCAGTTTGGTGTCAATGCTTGCTCACCGTTCATTGGGTGGTGATAATTTTGTTAAATAATTGCCGCATTATTTGTGCTCTCTTAGCCAAAGTTGTGCTGACAAAAATTGATGGAAACTATTCTTTTTTACTGTGATTTTGTGTTATTATGCTAGAAGAAAATTCTTTAGTTGACACAAACTCAACTGTTCAAGCAGTGCAGTTTAACTTATTTTATTCGTTGTTTGCATTTAGAAAGCTCTATTTGAAAATCTGTTTCAGGTCATCTCCAATATTGTATGAACTTTGATTGGTACTTCTATTTTTATGATTGCATTCCTTTTATCAACAGATAATTTGGTGGAAGATCTATTGGGAGATTTTGAATATGAAGTCCAGGTTCCATATCTCTTATATCGAAATGCTGCTCAAGAAGTAAATGGTATATGGTTTTATGATTCACATGACTGTGAATCAGTAGCAAATCTTTTCAGCAGGTACTAAGTCTGTTGTTTTGGGTAGTTGACTACTTGAGTTTCTTTTTTGCTTTATAGTTTTTGTCTTTTACTTCGGGTTTTACAAAAAGAAAAGTACATCAGAGGGTTATTGTGTAATTAAAAAAGTTCGGTAATTTTTTTTAAAGTTTAGTAGTTATTCAATAACTTGTTAGATGCAAAGTCATCTCCACACTGCCTGATAATTTTCCTCATAGATGACTTAATTGCCGATTAAAAGTGTCATAATAAACCTTATTGCGGAATTATGTAGGAAGGCACGGTGAGCTTGTTATTGAAAAGTCACCAAGTTCTAGATTAGAACTTGGAATGTTAACCCCTTATCTAAATTAGATAAGGAATGTTAACCAAGAAAAACAAACAGATGTATTTAATGGAATGTTAACCCCTTATCTAAATTAGACTTAATCTGATCTCTGCCATTGCATAAAATAGGGGATATGAAACTTGTACAAAATATGTAACATTATAGAGGTGTGCTTTTAGAATCTACACCTTTTAAGTCATGAGGTGTGTCTAAGAAAAAGTGTGCACTCATTACTTGAGGCTTTAAGTCAAGGCTAAAAATGTAAATTAGTGCTTTTGGTAAAACTGTTGCTTGCAGAAAATCTTTATTTTCACTTTTTTACCAGAAGATACTATTGCAGATGAGAGTGGGTTTTGCTCGTTATTATAATTACATAGTCTGATGCATTTTTCAGTCTTAATCTTTCTTTAAAATATATCTTGATTTTATTACTCTGATGCCCCGGGCCCTCACATCTGTGTGGCGTATTTTTTATTCTTAAATGTTATCATTAAAAAATATATGAACTGCATATTTGTTATGCAATGAACTTGTGGTGCTCTAGACTAACATTGCATATTTTATCCAGAATCCTTAATGCTTATTCCAAAGTACCTCCAAAGCCTAAAGTACCATTGACTAAAAGGTAACGTTGGATCTCATTTGTGAAATTTTATCTGCTTCATTCATTACAAATGCTTGTAGATGTTGTGGTTGGTATGTTCCCTTATCCCATTCTTTAAAAGAAAGCTTTGTTTCTTGAACTCCAATTAGCTAGCAATACTTTTTATTTCGTATCATATAGAACTTTTGATTGCTACGTTGTTTTGTGTAATGTGTCATCTTTCTTATTGCTAGTTACAGCCTGTGCCCATGGACGTTGAGGTTTATTTCTCCTTGAACTTTGCTAACTGCTCTTATTTGCTTCAGATAACTTTCCTTAAGCTGTCATCTGGTCAGTTAAAAAAATGTTTTTCTCTTTTCCCCTCCTTTTTCATTTTATTTTTGGTGTTTAATGTGAAATTTAGGAGTTGGATATTTTTCATTGTCTTTTGGCTTAAATTTTTTTATAAATATTTTGTATTGTTGTTCCCTGTATATCAATATGAGACTTGGCGCAGCTTTTTTAATTGTCAAACTTTTTTGTTCGTGATTTTTTTATTTCTTTGTGTAGCTTATTTGTTTATTAGATTGTATAATTTTGCAAGTATCATTTAAATGTTTAACATCTCATGAAACCCTCATAATATAAGGAACTATCAGGATGATTCTAGATCTGCAAGTTCAGACAGTTCATCTGCTGGCTTGATTTTGCCAATCCAATCCAGTAAATCTTGTTAATCCCTTTTGCCAGTCCAAATCATTATTCTAAATTGTGCCATAGGATTAGAAGTAAACTGTCATTGTTCTGTGCATCATTTTATAGATTATTAAATGCAATTTTATGCATTTAAAAAGTTAGTGCAATTGCAACATAAAGTTATTAGTATGTATTGTTTCTTAGAAGAGAGTGTGTGTTTCTAATGCATATTAAGATCTATTATGTTTAAGAGTGGACCTTATTTAGAGTACATTTTCCAATTAACATATTGAATCTAAAAGATGTATTCAGAAGTTGGTTTATCTAGGCTAAATGTGATAAACTATATAAGAATGTCCAATTAGATGCAGAAACACTGTGGGAGTCTCCATGAATTCGTCATCTTCTAAATATATGGGACACGTATTATTTTTTTTTCAAATAATTTGTTCTTTTCTGAGTGGTGTGGAATCAGCATCTAAAGGGATCCATAATGAAGTGTCTGAATACTAGGAACTAGTGGGCTGCATCTCGACATTAGAGACGGTAGTGGAGTTTAATAGAAAGGGAATGTTTTTCTTTAACAAAAAGAGCTTTCTGACTTATATATAAACCTATTTAGACATTTAACTAGTTTTTGTATGATTGTAGAGAGGATGATGTCAGGAGGAAAGTAGAACTTCAATTCATGTGGACAATAATGACTAATTATAAAACTATGAAGATATTTCTTTGCAGGGAAATGGAATTATAGGGGGAAATTTGTTTTAGGAAGTAATTTTAGGTGTTTGCTGAGGTGGTATGTTGGACAGCAGTAATTATGTTTCAATTTGGCCACAGGAAAAGGGTTCAAACTAGTGAATAAAGTTTCTGATCAGTTGTCAATCTAAATAGATACTATGATGGGTTTTTGAAGGTTCTTTTCTGATATTCATAGCTGATAACTTAAGTATCAAAAAGTGGCTCAGGGTATGCAGACAGGCAGGTATTGCATTACATTATATATCTCATCCATTTTAATGAAGTACGAGCAGAATATACATTAAAAAACTAACAATGGTGGGTGCTCAGTTTTTGGTAAGCAATGTTTTAGGCCAACCTTTATTTGCAGATACTGCCACTTTGCTTCCTGTTTTCTCCCTTTATCCTGAAGCCACGGTGTTATTTTCTGTAGCTACAAGGCTTCTTGGGGTCTTGCACAAGAATATGTGAATTATATGTTGGAGATAGATCATTCTTACCTCTTTGCATTTCTTGATCTTATGGTGTAATATTTGTGGCAGATCATGAATTGATTAGTCAAATCAAACTAAGCCCATGTTTATTAATTTTGTTAATATTATAATTAATCATTACCTATAGACATGCCGATAGAGTAGCTTTTCTTTTTTTAAGTTGAGAAGAAATTCCTCAGCATTTCAATTTGTCTTATTCTTTACTTGAATGTCTTTGTTGTGTATGATAGGCCGCATTGATCCATTTTTACTAGGATTATGTAACTTAACCTTTAGGCCTTTTCCTAATAAGAATGTATGTTCAGTAGCTAAATAAAAAAATATTGCTATAGTCAATCAACACCTTAGGAATGGTTTATAGTTTTTAATAAGTTATTTTAACTATTGATAATAGGGGATATATCTAGGTTTGTGAATGAAATCATATTATCATTGATTGTGTTTATATTATTAAATTACTATAACAGTTGAAATAGTAATGTGGAAGTATGAATCATGTTGTACCACTATCACATTGCATGCTTATGTAGACTGCATATGCAGCTGCAGACTAGACCATGTACACATGCAGCTGTGCAGTTCAACTCTTAATACATTTATGGCAACTGTATTTGCTGCTTAAGATGTTGGGAGGGTAACTTTAGCTCCTGGCCCAATTGCAAGCGGTTACTTTTGCAAATGTTTCTTAAGATGCTAGTGAAAAACTTTTTATCCTATCCTCCAGATAAAGATGATTCATATGGTAACTGCAAGCATTAAGTTGTAAAATGTACTTTCTGGAAGACTTAAATTATGGTAGATCTCCTTTCTTCACCCTAAAGTAACTTGGTCTTTCCTCTGGCAATTGTTCTTGGTGCTTTGTCGTTGCATGTCAATGCAATTTGTCAAAAGAAAAAGCTAGCGGAAGCCATTTCCATGAGTTTCATTCTTATCGCCACCTTGAATTATATGATCAGTTATTTCTTAAAAATGACTCGTCTCTGTCCTGGATTTTAGACCTATTTTATTGATCAGTTCGTTTTTGGATAAATTTTGAAATATTTCTCCTGCTTTTGGTTGTTATTAGTGTAATACTTAATACTTCCATAGTGAACTTGTGATCATTTTTGCAGTGTAGACCTGCATGTATGTGTGCCCTGGGGTTTCTTATTTGAGGCTGTAACTCTATGGGCATCGTGATGCGGATATATCTATACTATAAATCTTTGATTGGAAGTAATTTTTCTCACTATTTATTTTCCACTGACAGTGAGTTTGAAGAGCTCGAAGCAGTGCCTAGTTTATCAATTACTGAAGGCCCTTTTGAGCCTCCACCTTCGTGTGCTGCTGCACCAATTAATGACGTCCAAGATGATCTCTCTGTCTTCTTCAGTGTATGTACCCCACCAGAAGTTTCTTCCCTTATTATCATTGATTAGTCATACCCGCAGCTCATTTGTTTTTGTTTTGTCCACATCTTTCTGTGACTAGCATTACTGTACCATTTTTTTTTGTGAAAGTTGAAAATTTCTTGATCTATTAGAAGTAAAAAAATACTCTCATTTCTTATCCTTGACATGTGAATGGTCTTAATTCGCAGGCTGCTATGAATGTTGGAAATGCAACCATATCAGGGCAATTCCCACTTCCTTCTGCAGCTATTCCTGTATCTTCCCACATATCAAGTGTCATTCCAACTGCATTGCCAACAATACAGTCTGCACCCGTTCCAATATCCGCCACCCCCATTCCAATATCCACCACGCCTTTGATGCTTCCCATTGATACTAATGAATCTAGCATTGGAAGCAGTAAGCTTGCTGCAAATCTTGTGAAACCTTCATTTTTTTCGCCAATGCCATCTTCATCTGCATTGGTAATGCCTCCTATATCATCTTCCGTGCCAACTGTTCCACCAATCCATCCTCCAGTGACTATGCAGCGACCATATGGCACTCCGTTACGTCAGCCTTTTCCACCACCTACTCCCTCTGCATCTTTAACTCCTGCTCCAAATTATGGCCCAGTCATTACACGAGATAAAGTCCGTGATGCATTCTTGAGACTTGTGCAGGTAAAATTTCTGTTGATTATCTTCTTTTACATTTCAGTAGTCTCTTTAATGCAAATAATCATGCCTAGAACTTCTTTGTTTTATTATGATGTTGGTTCAATGTCGGGAACTATCATTCACATAGCATGAGACTTTTTTCTGCTCTTGTTATATTTGTCGCTCCATAGGCATTCTCTTTTTCCATGTATAGTCCACTCTGTCCATCCTGCACGACCGATCTTTCATATTCTTATCAAATAATTATTCCAACTTAATTATTATGTAGCCCCTGTATATCACATAGAAAGTTCTACATACCTCATTTGGTGTATCGGCTTTACAGATTGTGACTCGAGTTTGACCCGTCCTTTGTCTTTAAAATTGTCTGCTTGAATTGGCAATACAAACTAGCATTCTAGAAATATTTGGCTGATTCATAGCTTCCGTATCTTCTACAATGGTGGCGTTATCATCTACTTTTTGTTTGCAACCCTTACTCTTTGATATACCCATACTGGTGGATGATAGTTCTGACTGAAGTATGTGGTTTTTTGACAGAATAATGATTTCATCGACATGGTATATCGGGAGATGCTGAATGTGCATTATCCTTGACAGACAGGATTGTGCTTGCTGGCATGCAGCCATTTTCTCTGTGAACGAGTGGGCTACTGTAAATATTCCAAATCATAGGTAATGTCATTAGAACTTTTTTTTGTTTCTATTATCTGTGGTTGTGAAGAATTAAGACTAAAATTTTTGGTTTGGTGTGGTTTGGCTTTTGGTCTGTCATAGTTCGGAAATGCCCGTACTGGCATCTGTAAGCATAAACTTCAGCCGTCTTCACTCAAGTGGATTATTAGATATCATTTCTGTAATGCGGATTTTTTGGTAAAAGAGATTTTGGTAATATAATAACATTCTCTCTTTTTCTTTTTCTTTTCCTGTTTTTGGGCAGTGACCTATATACGTTTTAACTGTTTAGTGCATTTCTCCATCTGCTATGTTGTCTGGTCATCACATTTTAAAGTAAAATAATCGATTGAGTATATTTTTAAGGTTAATATTTAAGTATATTTTTAGGCATTTTATGCTCAAGTTAGGTTCTTGTAATCATTAT